TAGACATTAGATCAGTATTCTGTGGATATAAGCTTGCATATAATTATGTTTGATTAAATTTTAAAAGTAAGCAAATTTTTTGAGTAAATACTTACACCGAACTGTTTTATTTGAAATGACAAAATACTGAAATCATAATAATTGCAATGGAAATGTATTTCAGATATGATAAGTGATTATTTGCATTATCTTCTGGTATTTGTGACAATTCATTGATCCCTTGAATTGGAAAGTGTGTCCTAACATATAAAATAACCCTCAATAGCCACCCGATCATATTACCTAATGTTTTCTTTAATTCTTTAATGTTATTATTAAAGATTTTTTGGGCCTTAAAATAAAATGTTTAATTTAATATAATTTTTATAAAACATATTATAACTTAGTTTAATATAGTAATAAAGTAGTACTTCAAAAGCCTTTATCTGATGTTTCGTGTATTCATCTAACAATTTCTGTTGGCTTTCAGTTAAAGTGTCAATCCTTACGGTGAACTCATCTATCTTTCCTATCAGTCGTTCCCGATATAAATGAGTGTAGTTTCGGTGACCATCCATCTCATTGATATCCTTTTGTATGGCCGACCGTTCATCTATCAGTGCTTTTCTCTCACTTTGTACGCCATTCAGCGTTTGTTTTAACTTTCATCAATATATCAATCATTATTAATATCATATCAAGCATTATATCTGTAGAGAAGACCCAATACCTGATCCGCATATTCCTGAGCGATGCGAACCTCTTTGTAGCCGCAATTGGTTTCAATGAAATTAAATAAGTTATGATTTAAATCATAAAATTTTGATTTCTTTAAGTTCTTCATAATATCATTATAACTATTGTTTTGAGATACTTGTCTCAATGATGCCAATCGTTTGGCGTTTCTGTCAACTCTTTTAAGACATTTTAATCAATTCATTCATTAAATTCATTAGGTTATGATTTATACCTTAATTTTGATAATTCAATAGATTTCGTATTCTTGATGGACTTATGGATACTATTAACTGATCTCACATATAACACAAATGAATTTTTCATATTTAAAATTATTTTTTATGATATTAAATTTATATATTTAAAATATTAAAATTATATATTTATTATAAACAACAGTACAATAAATAAATAAAATGGTTAAGACTGTGT